AAATAGAAGTTATTGCTGGCACATTCTGTTTCTATCCAAATTAACTTGCTTCATTTTTTCAGTAGATAGATACACTCCTCTCCAGATAACTGTAGTCCGTTTTTACTGTCTAAAGCTATCAAGAAGGAAGTTATCCAATATTTTTGTCAAAAGTGGGATCATAGGACAGAGTAAGAGGATGGTTTAAATCTAACCGCTGAGAAACAGACTCTGTCTTATTGTCTTGTTATCTGAAAGCATTTGAAATGGATTGGATTAGATGAAAATGGCCATTATAGAAAGGCCACTACTTTTCAATATTTACCACACCGTGGTATCTGGGATACCACAGTTTCTCCCTAAGCTTACAATAGGAAATAACTATGGTAATTGTGTGGTATGAGTTGGCAAATGTTGATTTTTCTGAATGGAAGCCATYCTAGCAAGAGCAAATAACAAAATCTGCAATGAGAGTGCAGTCCTAAACATATTGAAAGCTATAGGTAGACATAGGCAGCTTTGGAGCCCACTCTAATAACTTTCCCAAGGGAAGTGTGAGATTCAAATTTTAGTTACTACAATTCCCAATGAAGTTTATAAGCTATGGCTGCCTATATGAAGCATTTTTCTTCTTATAATTTTTCTTTAATTAAAATGAATGGTCCTAAGGGGCTTTTTTTTTAAGTAGAAGTAACAAGTAAATGAACCTCACTGGCTTTCACTGAGGAGTAGACACCTAACTGACATTTCCTCCCCAAGTCCTGAGGACATCTATTAAAACTTTAGATCCTCATTTCATAACTGTGAATGAAAAGTTATTCTTCTAGAGTAATTTCCAGATTTGGGGTGCAAATTTGGGAGATRTAGGTGATAAAAAGTCAGGGAGACTGAGGCTTCTAAGTCACTTAATGGCTTTTGAAATTTTTGCCCCTTAGGAGCCTTTTCCCTGCTGGTTTTGGCAGCCCTCAGACAAAATCTACAAATGAGAGTTCCTCCTTTCAGCTGCTGGCTTTCTGATCCATTTTCTGTATAAATAGAGATCATGTGGACTTTAATAAGGTCAGGGAATGTTTTTTACATGTCTGTGATTTTTTTTTCCCCTCAAAACTTAATTTTGCCCATCTGATTTCTATGGAAGTGGGAACAGATGCCAGAAGCTGAGAACTCCWGCAGCTTTGTGCTCATTCGTAGAGCAGAGTACTTGAGGGATTGGGACCCTCAATTACTATCATATGCAGAGTTACACATTGACGCTTAGCTGAGATCTGCAAATGCTGCCTGCTTCTTACCATGTCAAAGTTGGGAGATGTATAAGGAAATACAGACTCGTCTCTGCTCCATTTTAGTCTCTTCCTATGATGGCTGAGATTACTTCATAAAAGAGAAGATACTTGGTATGCCTTCTCAAACATAAAGTATCGATGCCCAAACTTAAGTCCCTAATTCCATGTTTAGGCACCTTCCTAACTGGCTCTTTATCTCAGAAAGTGAGTCTGTTTATAACAAAGTCTAACTATTGATTTAACTTCCCTATTTGAGACACCAGGGCTGGGATATTTCTGCCTTGTGCCAAGACATGAAACAGTCAGAAGCGTTTCCAGCTTTCCCGATGTCTCTTTTGGGCTGTTCCGAGGATACTCCTTTTATGCAGCTGCTCATCAGAAGAGGAGTCAACTGCCGTATGCGTTGCACCCTTTGGGTTGTGTTTGCAATTTAGAAGAAAGCAAGAGGCTCGTCAGGATTTTTTCTTGGTTCATTTTCTAACAACTGCAGAGTTCATCTGGAAGCATGCGGCATCCAGAAAGGAGCAGTGATCTGTGTGGACCAGTGCTGACTTTTTTAGGCAGCCATTCAGAATTGTAACTACCACATGAATCTGCTTCATCAAACTGTTAGTGGAGAGAAGTTTATATTGTGGAGGGGCAAGAAGTGCAGCTCCCAAACCAGGTTCCCCATGCCCAGCTTATACACAGTAATACATCTGTCCTACCCTATTCGTAAGGAATCCTATGATTTCTAAATTGTATTTTTTATAACTCTTATATTTGATTACTTTGTTTAAGTACAGCTTTAAAACAGTCACTACTGAGTGATTTTGAAATGTAGGAAGAACTTTACTTAGAAATCTAGGATTTTTTAGTAGTGATTTTTTAAAAGACGATTGAATCTTTTGGGACACTCATGTAGTGACTCTGGTGAGGATGCAGAGAGATTCAGCTGGTAGCTTTTACTGTATTAGGTGATAAACTGTGAAGGGGAATCAGGAAACAAATTAGTGGGACTGTAGCTAGCATACTTGTGAGTACACCTTGGCAGAGAAATTGTAGTGCTGTGAGTTGATACATATATATATATATAAAGGAGGGTGAAAAATGGTGCTCCATTTTGGGAAAACAAAGACAATCAGGGCTTTCTTCTTGAGCAGCTGCAGCCAGCTCCACTAATGGAAGTGCAAGAGCAGAAGCTGGCAGCGCAAGGTATGTGTTCGTTTTTACAGACGGCAAAGCAGACAAGTTGGTAATTGAAAAGGAAGTCGTGTACGTGAGCTGTTTGACGGGGGACAGTCTATTACAGTACTTTCCTGTGTAATTGCCTCGGTGAGTTATTGAAGGCAGAATTTCTCCTCCTGAATAGATTTTAGTTATAGCAAAACGACATCAGTATCATTAGGGAAATTCAGGATTCCAGGGTGCTTTTTTTATTATTATTATTATTCTATTAGATGTGTTCCTAAAACTTTTTAAATTTTGTTTTACTGTTCTGCGGTTACCTCCATGGAGGTCTGTGTCGTACTGCGGGTAGCCCGTAGCAAAATACAGAAGGAGCAAGTTCATATCACATTGTGGTAGCTGTTTTTCAAGACACTGAAAGAGGTTTAGGGATGATCTGTGGCTGCGAGTTGAAGGATCAGGCCTCAAATACATGTTATACCCAGGAAAAGCTGTTTGAAGGAGGTTGCTCTTTAAAACATCGTTGTTTGTGTAGAACAATTTAACTGTTTGCAAACCAGAGTAATGTAACTGTCCACCAGAAAATAATTCTCAGCGTTCCTTATAAATGATACTTATGCCATAAATATGTGTTTCTTTAATCTATGTATGTACTTCTGTATGTTCTTCTATAGTCACTATAAGTGACTGTRAGAAGGTCAGTTATATTTTTAACACATCCAGCATTTTAAAAATCAATCTGTACTAATCGTGACAAGGAACTCTGACCTCCACAGAAATGACTGTTGTTTTCATATTTGCGCCATTACTGATCTTGGGGAGGAAATTGTGAAATTACCCTTTATCACTAGTTGAATTAACAAGGAAATACAGTGCAAACTGCATAATTTTCACAGATGAATGCTCTAATGAATGAAAGATCATAAGTCAAGGAACAGTCATTGTAACATGTGATTATTTTTGTGATCCCACAGTTGCATGTAACTCTAAATAGATTATTTAAATACTGGTAAATTCCTGTCTGTGGACCTTAAGRTTGAAGCTGGATGTCTGTTACCCTGCAGTATAGGGAAGAGGGTAGAGAGGATGCAGCATGGGAGAGGAAATAAGGGTGAGGAAGGGATGGTGGTGAAGTGATTCGATGGCAGCTGATTTTGTGGTGTGTTTTAATTCTTTTTGCCTACCTATATATTTCTTAATTCAGTCATTTATGTTGATTGGCTCGCATTTTGTTACTGCAGCTAAACCAATATCTTACTGAATTCTTCTTTTTTAAGAAGACACAAAGAGATCGTGGTTTGTTGACTTTGATTCATTTTGAAACAGCAAAGTGCTATTTCTGCTGTCTTGAAGGTAGCTTTTGAAAGTAGCTTTGCAGAAATGCTACAAAAGCTGGGGAAAATCTACTTGCCAGCATTTTTGTTGCTGCTCAGAAATTATTGTAGGCTGCCTGCATATCACATGCAAATGAAAATATTTACTCAGAGGGGATCAGAGGTAGAGGGATCAGAGGTAGAATTCTGAAATGTTGCCCTGATAGTGGTATTTAATTTACAATCTATTGTTGGTGTTTTCTTTTTTCTCTAGAAAACTCTGCTATCATTAAAAGCTAGTAATACAGAGCATATTATCCAAAGGTGCTGTCACAACAGAGCATTAAAAAATCCTCTAAACTTTTTATATGAATTACGCGTGTAATTTCAACTTCCCTTTTGGCATTTTTACTTTCTTTTTGCCTTGCCTTTCCTAACCTCTTTCTCATATATCTTTCACATATAGCTCTTTTATGTAATTATTCATGAAAATTTCTTAGATGAAAACTCTGAATTTGGCACATTAAACTGATAATTCAAGAGGCATATATTAATTCATAGTTAAGGTTGAAAACAACCTCCTTTAGAACTTTGCTTTACATGTTTCTCTTTTTTTTTGCTAATAACTTATGCGTTGGGGCTGAAATTTGCTGTGCCTGGTGTATTCCTGAAAACTTTCCAAGTTATAAAGGGAAGAAAAAGCCATTGGCATTCTTTTTAATTTAAATATGGTTACAGCAAAAAGTAACTAAAATTTTAAAATGTAGAACTTTACAGGGAAATAGTTGTGGCTGTTTTCATAGTTCAGAGAGAAAGCAGTTTTGATTAAGTACGTTTCAAAAGGCCTGAGCGACTCTGAAGCCAAAAGAAATGAGGGCTACGAGAGACTTTTCCCATCCTAAGCAGGAGGAAGTAGCACTTATTCCAGCATCCAAATGCTGCATTGCTGCCCAGCTTTTAGACTGAACCTCTTCAATAAAAAGAGAACTAAAGAATCCTTCTTGCAAGGGAGAGCAGTGGATGATGCTGGGAACTGAATCAGTTTTGCAAGGAGAAGAAGAAACTCCTAAATAAAACTCCTAAATAAGAGCAGTCACTACTACTCAGCACCTACCCTGAGACATAACCCTGGGCACGTTGTCCTACTTTTTTGACCCCCCTGGTAGTGGAGGGATGTGCTGGGCATGAGTCCAGCTTCTCCCCGTTGGTCCACCCACAGTGGCCTGGGAAATACCGAGCCAAGGGCATGTGGGTTTTCCCGCATCTCTCCTCCAGCTGCCCGTGTTGCCAGAGAGTTCTCAGAACCCGTGTTTGGCTCAGCCTTCGGTGGGTCAGACCTTTGCTGCCTCTTTGGTAGCATCCATCATGCTTTGGGTCCTGACTGCAACGGGGACCGCTGCTGGAATGATAGGAAAGCCAGAGATGGTCAAAAAATCCACTCGGGCTGTGTCGGACCATTCTTTTGTGTTGGAGAAGTGAAAGTAATCAGCAAAAAAMCATGAGTTTTGTTGTGTCCAAAACCCAGAGGGTGATGTAAGAAAAATGCTTGGCTGATGCCTGTGGAGCCTGTTCGAGTTTCTAAAAGCATCTTCTGGCAGAAATTTAGAAAACAGGATGTATTTGGCACTAGAAGGATGTCAGGCACCCTTGCTTAGTTGAACTAGCTAACAAACCTCTTCCTTCAGTGGTGTGTTTTGGCTATGCTTTTATAATATATGTATTGCTAAAGGACATTCCTTTGAAATAATTACTGTAAGTCCTGTGCATTTGAAAATATTTTTGTATAACTTTAAAATGTACTGACACTTTTACATGGCTGAAAAGTTTTAAATTGTGTAAATGGTACTGTATGCCATGTTTTTTTTTTAAATCTAATATAGTGTTTTATGAAAAACAAGGTACTGATCCTGCAAGTATGCCTGAACAGATTACATCTTGTGGAGTTCTTTAATGTTTTACTGTTTAGCAGTAATAATTAAGAATAAGTTCCTTGTTTAAAAGAGGTATTGGTTGAATAGTGAAAATAGTTTGAGGAGTTAAAAAAAAATGAGGCATTCAGGCTTGACTGTGTATACTGAGTTTCAGACTTGTTCAATTTGAAATGGTCAAGATATGAAACCATAAAAAATGTGAATAAATACTCTGCATATCAAGAGTTGTTACACAATTACATGGTCTCAATACGGGCCTTACAGAGGGAAAACAGTAGAGAGAGCTGCAGTGCGGTTCAGTGAATAATTACAAACTTTCAGAGCTTAATTACAAAATGATAACCCATTTCGTGCCTTGCTACTAATAAAATACTAAAATGTGTTTGGGCCTCCTCCTCCCCCGGACAAAGCCACTGAGGCTGGAGGTTGGTCAGAAAGTATCAGAAAACCATGAAGTGACCTCCACTTCCCACAGCACCAGTGTTGGCCTAGCTCCAAAGTGTAAGCAGCTGAAATGATTTAAACAAAATTTTCAGTTGAAAACAACAACAAAAAAAGAGAGATTACAACTAGGTTGACAAAAACATTGTCAGATTGGCCCAATTTCAGCCCAATGCGCTTTGAGACAATCAGGATATTAAGTGCCCAGCCGTAGAAATCAGACTGGAAACAGAGCCAGGCTCTTTGTGACATCAGTCCCTGCGGGATTTGGGATTGTAATAGTGCAGTTACAGGGCTTCAGATGATTAAAGTTTGCCTTATTAGATACATCTCTCAGTTATTTAGCTAGACCCTTGGGCTTCTTCCTCCAAGGATGTACAGGCCTAGGCTCACGCTGAGCTGAGTGGCAGAGTGTGTGGCGAGGGTGTCGGGAGACCGTGGTCGCTCTTCAGGTCCAGAATGATTTAGGAGAAGAAAATTCCAGGCAATGTTGACTTTTTTATTTTTTCCTTTCTCCTTGTGGGCTCCATCAAGATTTTCCAGGTATATTTTGACAAGCAGCTCAGTTCTGCACTTAGGGAGATCTGGGATTTGAATGTTTACTTTGATGCTGCCACAGGCCTGTTTCATCCCAAAGAATCCATTTTAAATGTTTGTCCCCATTTAAAGAAAAAAAAAAAAAGCAATTTAAAACTATTTAAAAGGCAAAAAGACCAACAACGTAACATCATTTAAGTGCTTACAAAAGTGACTTAATTCTCATTAATATATGCAGTCATGTTGGAACTCTTAGATGAAGGGGCAATCCTTGTTATTATCAGGTAAGTTAGCTCAGAAGAGCTCAGAAAGATTAAAAAAAAAAAGATTTGCAATGTTCAGAACTGCATGTAAGATGAATGCAATAAATTTTATATTAATTTTAGGGAACTTAGTTGAATTTTCTAACTATATTGAAATTTTAACAGATAAATAGTTTGTATTTGCAGGGCAAATACACACAGATACAGTCTTTTGATTCATATGGCTACTTTATCTAGGTATTTTGCAGCTCGTTCCTGGCTAAAATCATTATATTATTTCATTGAAAGAATCATGTTATTTCAAAGAAAGAAAGAATAAACAAATGGCTTTTTTTTTCAATGTAAATAAATTCTTTTCAGCTCAGTTTTCTAAATAAACTCTTTCTTATGTGTTAATGTTACACTAGCCCATATTGTTTGGCAATGATTTCAAGGTTACTATACCCTCTGTCCCCCATCCAGGTGTGCAGACATGCAGAGTATAAACTGGATTCCTCTCTGTCTATTTTAAAAGTCCCCTGTGACTGCATAGAGGTATTTTCCCAAGCTTAAGGAACACAAACAGAAGTGAAAGGGTGGGAAGCCTTACTCAGATTAAGACTCCATTTGCTTAATTCACCACACCAAGAAATACGAGGCTGACAGACAAAAAGTAGGAATGGAAAGGAACAGTTCGGCAGTTGTAGCTCTATCCTGGCCATATAAAATCATTTCCAGTTGGAAACTTCTCACCCACCAAGTGGACCAAACTGGGGTTGGTTTCGTGAAGCTTTTATTGTATCATGAAGGAAACTATTTCCAGGTGAAATTTTGCAAGGATATGCAACCGCAGAAAGAATGAGGAGCCTCGGTGTTCTTGTAGGTGAAGTGCCCAGCCGGGGCGAGCCACCTCCTAGATGTTTGCTGAAGAATGTGAACTACTACTTAGTTCTTCCCCTACCCAAATTYAGAAGAATGTAGCATATTACTGCTTCTGATTTAGGAGACAAAGTAGGGGATGATGTAAGGGGGTGAGAGAGAGATTATCTTGATGACAATCTGGATTTTATTGTATCACCTTAAAGTAGCACAACCTGCTGCACTAATGAAATTGTGTTCTTGGTTTAAAAGGGCAATTGTTAGCCTGACTTTGTGCTCACTAAAAACATTTCCCCAATCTTGTTAAATTATTGCACTCATTTCAGATTTTTATGGCTGTGCAGCTTACCAGCCCTCGTTTCTGTACGTTTCATTCATTTTCCTTGTATTGATGATTAATGGAGGATGTCGAACGTTAGAGTGAGCAGGCATCAGCAAATGCAAGATCATAATTAGTTTAGCTGACGAGGGCCTCTGATAGCACTTGCATCTGGATGGAAAAATTACCCTATAGGGAACTGGCTGCTCACCAGGTCTTTTTAGTGATACATTGTGAAACACCCGATGAATCAAATGCCCTTTCAATGCCAAGAAAGTGTTCCAGTCTTGAAGCCAAAATTATGTCTGCAGAAAGCTTTCCATTTGAAATGTATCAGAGTACAATTATAACCATTGTATTTTTTTGGCATGAGCACCGCTCTTCTACGGTATGGACTAAAGTTAAATAAATTACTTAAATTTTATGAAACCCTGAAATTTTGACTTATAGTGTTAGTAATTTTTAATTTATAATAAAATTAGTTTTCACCAGGCTGTTTTTTCCTTTACTCACCCATACGTATCTTACAGGCTGAGGAGCTGTGGGTTYTTCTCCCTTTGCAGAGAGACAGCACAGTTGAAATTGAGATTTTCTTTTCAGCAAAAGAATTCCATTTCCTGCTTATTAGTATTTGTGCCCACAAACACAGCCTGACTTTTGTTTAAATGAGAAGTTTAATGAAATCATTACTCTCTAGAAAGAATTTAACGAGCACTACTCATAAACGTGTCTACTTTTAAATATTCTTGGATCATTATTAAAGCTGATGAATGCACAGCTCAGTCTGGTTAAAAATCAATTTGTATTTAGGGGAGCTGTACTGTGTCTTTCTTTGCCTGACAGAAATAAAATAAATAAATAAATAAATGCATTGATGAGACCATGTTTTCTGGGGTTTCGGATGAAGTTCGAAAGAGGACTCATTAAGAATATTGTACTTTTATTTGTTTGGCAGAGGTTACTCCTTGTTCTTAGGGGCTGTGGGAAATACATGGTAGTTTATGCTGCTCGCAGAAGTAAGTGGGAAAGGCTGTGCCTGAATATCATGCATGCAATTAATGAAGTATAATCTCTGTTAAAGGAATTAGTGTGACGCAGATACAAACTGCAATTAATTAAAGTGGGGGTGCTGGAGAATTCCAGTTAGCGATCGCACTTGCAAACCAAGCAAACGAAGAGCAGCAATCTGCCGGCGGACGGAGGGAAGGCACCGGGAGGAGTTTGCCGCATGTGCCCTGCCGCCTCGCAGCGTGTTTGTCAGGATCCGCTGTTTAGAAACCGTCCTGAAACGCACAAAACCTGAAGTTCAAAAAGTTAAAGCTGTTACGCTGAGCGGGCTTTGGTGTTTCACACACCTCATCCATCACTCCAGGGTTAATTATAATGAAAATCAGTGGTGCCTATTAAGCACAATTGAACCTGACCTCATTATGGGCAGTGTGGTTTTAGACTGTCATTGTTGCCAATACGGAGACAAAACTCCTGTGTTGATTTGTCCTAACTCCGCGGATCATGTGACTCACCTCTGACCTGTTTTTTTTTCTTTTTTTTTCCCCCTGTTTTTCTTCTTCTTCTTCTTCTTCCCTATTTCAGAGACGTAGAGGCTCGGGTGTTTTCTGTGCCAATTGCCTGACCACAAAGACCTCTCTCTGGCGAAAGAATGCAAATGGTGGATATGTATGCAATGCGTGTGGCCTCTACCAGAAGCTTCACTCGGTAGGAAGAACTTACTAGTTTGCTCAGGAAAAAAAAAAAAAAAAAAAAAAAAAGGGGCTATGCTGCAGAGCTGGGCAGCTGTGGTCTCGTCTGGTTGTGTGATTACTACCACTCCCTGGCCTGCAGTTAATTTCCTAACCGGGTTTTTCTCTATGGTCACTTTGGGATCAGATGTGATTCATTATAAAATGAGCTGGGATGCTGTGGGTAGACATGTTTGAGATCACCAGTGATGCATTTAATTATTTTGATACAAAATAAGGGGAAAATGATTTCTTTTCTGGGAATTCCATGTAAAGGCATACAWTGTGATGAAAGTGCTCTATATTCAAGAGCTCTTGTGTTCATAATCAAATAAAAAGAAAAATTCTTAAAGTTGGACATCAAAGCTGTATCAAAAATACCCCTGTGCTGATTTTCTTTTGTTTTTGCTCCTCTCACTATCTCTTCTCTTTTTCAATAAATTTCCTACAGATGTTGCCTTTTATTTTTTCTGCGGTCCTTGTAGTCTGCTGCAGGACTCTGAAATAACTCAGCTTCCAAGGAAGCTACTCGTCTGACAACACACATGTCCATGAAAGAAAGATTCAGCATCTCTCTGGATCAAGCAYACATAATAATCATGGATTATCTATATTACTTTTGTTCTTATCGATTCTTGGCTTGATCCTGAAAGATATTGAACAGTCTGGTTTGGGTCCAAGAACRCCATGCTTAAGTGATTTCTTGGATCAGGGCCAGAATACTCAGAATCTTTTAGGATAAGAACTAAAGTCAAATTTGATCACCACTGCCTTTAATATAGAAATGTCACATGATCTGGATTTGACTAATTAATTCATTATTACAACATCTCTGTGAAATAGAAATATTTTGCTCTTTGTTCTGCAGAAAAAGAAACTGAGGCAGAGTTTTTTCTTTTTTCTTCTTTTTTTTTCCCTAAGAATTTAGCCTTAGAGCCAAAATTAGAAATCTAAGTTATAGCTCAGTGCACGTATTTTTCAAAAAAATCCCTTTTCAAAAAAAAAAAAAAAAAGACAGAAACATTTAAGAAGCTATTTATCAAATGCAAAGTAGTACTCCAAGTGCCTATTCCCATATCTCTTTAATTAGAGTCGTAAGTTCTTAGTTTTTGTKAATTTTGCTATTGGTCTTGTGGACGGGCCATTTAATAGTCCTGTTTATTCAAGTCCCTGTCCAAGCAGGGAAACCATCACCAATATGAAATAATATGAAATAATATGAATATTATGAAATAATATTATGAAATAATATGAATAATATGAAATGTCAGCTCTACTGTCATTTGGAGATCAATAACTGTTTTTTAGCTGCAGAACAACCCAACCAGTCAGGTTATGTTGAAGTTTGAGATGGACAAAATTATGCATGATCTCTAGCCAGCCTCTGGCTGGATCTTGACAAAAGTAGCATCTTTCTGGAGAACTCTGCTAGTTTTACATATAATATGTGGTTTAAGGAGAATTGATTATTCCTTTTTAATATATTTTCTAAACCGTCCTCTGATACTTTACATGAGTAATAGTATAAGTTGGTAGATTAAAATTACCAGAATCAATTTGTGAATTCAAATCATAGTCCCAACAATCCTCATGAATTGTTATAAACAAACTAGTATTGTTTTAGCAATTACAATTAACAATACTTTGTCAAACTCCCATTTATACGTATAGAAAGTAAGAAGATGACACTTTTAGCTCCACTGTTCAAGAATGGCAATAAGCTGTCATTCAGTGGACAATGAGATTAGTATTTTTAAATCAACTGTGATCAAGACCTATGAATTTAATTTATCCTCCACTCTCCTGTGTTCATTGCAAATTTGATTCTGATATAATCAGAGAAGTCTCTCACTTGGGAGACAGTCCAGTGCAAAGTGATGCTCTTTTGGATGACCCCAGAAAGATCAAAGTTTCTTTTAACTATCTGTCTGTCAATATATCTGTCTGTATCTTCACACAATATTACAGTCGTTATTCATAATGTATGTTTTTCAAGGAAGGAGCCCAGAATTATGCATTTTTTGAGTAAAGCCTGAAATTATAAAAATTTAGGGTAACAGAACTGTTCCCTTTTGAAAGCAATCCCATTAAATTACATTTTGATACAAAGCTAAGTAAATTATTTCACAAATAGCTTTTGACTGGATTATCACTATCCAGTGCTATGGTCCAATTCACAAGTCAATAGTCAACAATGTGTACAGTACATTATCTCCAAAGATCCTAATTTTACAGTTCTTTAAAAGGAGGAAAAATCTGTGGTCTCTCAGACACTACCGAGTGATAATGACTGACAGATATTAGCATGACAGTGATTCTTACTAATTTACATTTCCATTTCTATGATACCTTTGAACAGTTTTACAACATCTGTTCAAAAAATGTCTGTCCACCTATTGGTCATTTAAGTGAAACATACCTGTTTTTTCACATTCTGTCTACTAATGCAAAATAACTGTGCTTAAAAAGTGTGAAAATATTCAAATGACTGATTTTTAAAAGAGCCTTAGTGAAAGAAGGTGCCTCTAGGTCACTGCAAACATTCATAAATTGGTAACATTTGCTGACAGTTAAAGATACACCATGGTTTCCTAAGAGTAATGCATTGACCATTCATATTGTGATTTTGTTCCTCATTTTTAATGGTTCTATCAAGGCCTTGGAAAGCTAGTTTTTRTTTCATTTGATTCCTTAGCCACTTCATCAAACTGCCTGAGCAAGGAGCTCCATCGGATTATTCTTGTTTAGACCTACRTGTTCTGATCACAGACAGGTCACACCAATTGCCCATTTTAGCTAGGAAGGCTAATCACAGCAATTTACTCAACTATTCAGTGGATTTTGTGATATTTTTTAAAACTGCTGCTTGTATATTTGGGAGAAGGGGCCTGCCAATATAGAGATTGCAAAAATATCTATCTTTGTGATCATACTCAATATGCACTTTGTTATATAATTAACAGTCTGACCTATACAGGCCCTTTTAAAAATAAAGTTCTCGCAATGTTGCTGCTGTTTTCCAGTGGAAATGCCCCACGGAAGATTAAGAGAAGAGATCAGACTTTTCTGAGTACTTTAATGGCAAACAAATACAGAATATTCCTACCTATCTGCTCTTTGCTCCTGTGAATAACAAAAATGGCAATTAYTCCAGACAGCTACAGACTGCTCACAGGAGTACAGTCACTTGCATGCTGGAGTATTTTTAAGTTGTACCTATTTCTTCTGTTTTGGATTTTTAACAGAAAGTAAAATCTTAGCAAGTAGTTATGCTGGCTAAAATGATGTTAACCATTAAGAATTAGCCCACCTCGGGGAAATAAATAAGTGAAAGAGGAGARGAAGATGGCAAGTCCAGAGAGAAACTAGATCTCTACAAATAATAGAGTGAGCTCTCTTCCAGCTCTGCATATTTTTATAGTAATTCAGAGTTATGAATATATATAAATTATGTTACATTCAAGGTACAAATTGTTTTGGGTATTGACTTTAGGCCAGAATTTAATCTGTACTTGAGAACAATGTTAAAAAGAAAATTTCCAAATAAACATATAAGTGGAATTACTGTGTGGGGCACTCCTCTGGCCTCCAACCAAAACAGGATTATGTGTGCATTTGGATGAGACAAATGGCTACTGCCAGCACACCAAACTGAATGACTTTTAGGTAGTTTTTGTTGTTTTAACATCTGCCCAGTAGAGCAACACATACCAATGTTACAGCACCATCTTTCATTCACATACCATTGCCTTCCTGTTGAGGGGCCTTTCAATGAGACCTGGCGGCTGTCCTTCCTCATGCTGTTTTTTTTCCCTCTCACACAAATGTATTTTCAGTTCTCATCTAAATAGGCCACCTATCCTGATGTAGTAGCAAATGGATACAAAGGTCCTCACTTCTTCCTTGTCTCTTTGCCTCCTGCTCATTCTCTTTACAGACAGACATTTCTGTCCGCTAGAGGCTACCTTCTCTCCCTCCTGGCTTCTAGCAAAATATCAGTAACATTTAGAAAGCAATAGGATGAGTATCAAAGAAGGAGAGTTGCACTGAAGCCTCTTACAGACATTTTGGTACCTGGTTTTTTTTCTCCACCTTTAAATGGTCCCCTTCCAGGCACCATTATCTCCTGCCCACCACCACAGTGGACCTGCAGCCCTTTTGCTGGGTGACAGTGGTGCTTGTCTGCAAGCCATGTGTTTGCTTCCATTTCTAACCATGCCAAAGGGGGGTGGGTATGAAGGTAAGTGTTATTCTTACTCAATTCCTGYCAGTATTTGATCTATACAAACCCTTGGCCAATACTGGCATCAGTGTCACACTTACACAGTATGTTGATAAGGAAGAGGGATGTGCAACTCCCCCTTCATCCACACTCTCTCTGCCCTCTTTCAGCACCTCTCTTTTCTCCCTCTGACCCCCAGAGTATTAAATGTTTTGGCAGCTTGGTACTTTATACCTTTTTAAGTAAAGAGGTATAGTGTGTCTTGAGATATACTTGACTTAATAGGATAAATCAGGCTCCTTTGAAGCTGAGAAGCCAGGTGCCAGCATTTTGGTCCACCTTTAAAATGGTAGACCATTTAAACATTGAAAGTGGTGTTAAAAATGGCATTCCCAAGCTCTTTATATAAGAAAAGAAAGGGGTGAAGGGAAAAAAAAAAGAATTGTATGAACATTGTCTCTCAGATGTGTTTAATGTCTCTTTCCTTTTTTCCCTTTGTTTCCTATGTGCATGTTCCATGCAGACTCCCAGGCCTTTAAACATCATTAAGCAGAACAATGGTGAGCAGATCATTAGGAGACGAACAAGAAAGCGCCTTAACCCAGAGGCACTTCAGGCTGAGCAGCTAAACAAACAGCAGAGGGGTAGCAGTGAGGAGCAAGTCAATGGAAGCCCCTTAGAGAGGAGGTCAGAGGATCACTTAACTGAAGGTCACCAGAGAGAAATTCCGCTTCCCAGCCTCAGTAAATATGAGGCCCAAGGTTCATTGACTAAAAGCCATTCTGCTCAGCAGCCAATCTTGGTCAGCCAAACTCTGGATATTCACAAAAGGATGCAACCTTTGCACATTCAGATAAAAAGTCCTCAGGAAAGTACTGGAGACCCAGGAAACAGTTCATCGATATCAGAAGGGAAAGGAAGCTCCGAGAGAGGCAGCCCGATAGAAAAGTACATGAGACCTGCAAAACATCCCAACTATTCACCACCTGGAAGCCCTATTGAGAAATACCAGTACCCACTTTTTGGACTTCCATTTGTACACAATGACTTTCAGAGTGAAGCTGACTGGCTGAGATTCTGGAGTAAATATAAGCTGTCTGTTCCTGGGAATCCACACTACTTGAGTCATGTGCCTGGCCTACCAAATCCTTGCCAAAACTATGTGCCTTATCCCACCTTTAATCTGCCTCCTCATTTTTCAGCTGTCGGATCAGACAATGACATTCCTCTAGATTTGGCGATAAAGCATTCCAGACCTGGGCCAACTGCAAACGGTGCCTCCAAGGAAAAGAGTAAGGCACCACCAAATGTAAAAAATGAAGGTCCCTTGAATGTAGTAAAAACAGAGAAAGTTGATAGAAGTACTCAAGATGAACTTTCTACCAAGTGTGTGCACTGTGGTATTGTCTTTCTGGATGAAGTGATGTATGCTTTGCATATGAGTTGCCATGGTGACAGTGGACCTTTCCAGTGCAGCATATGCCAGCATCTTTGCACGGACAAGTATGACTTCACAACTCACATCCAGAGGGGCCTACACAGGAACAATGCACAAGCTGAAAAGAATGGAAAACCTAAAGAGTAAACCTTAGCACTTAGCACAATTAAACAGAAATAGGTTTCCTTGATGGGAATTCAATAGCTTGTAATGTCTTGTGAAGACCTATAAAGCACTTCATATAGAGAGCATGCCTTATAAAATCCCTTGTTTTGTTCTTTTCTTCTTCCCTTCGTTTTTTTTTCTCACCTTTTTTTTTCTTTTTTTTTTTGTTTTCTTTTTTTAATGAGTGGGTTACCAAGAAAGAAAGAACATTTGGATGGTGGCCAGAAGGTAGAAAAGATAATTTTTATGGAATATGGCCCACCAAAGCTAGCCAGAATGCAGTGAATCATGGCGAATAACCTTGAAAAAATTTTACCAGACAATTAATAACTTTGCTATTGTGTAAGAGACATAACTGGCAAGAATGCAAAGATGTGTATATGTATATACTGCTGCAGGGGTATAGTGAGCATATGCACATTGTATATAAGAACTAGACTTGTTAAATGTACAGATGTTAAAAGGTCATTCTCTTTTCTTTAATTTGGGCTAATTTCTGCCCTACAACAYGCCTTAGTATCACTTTGTTCTCAAAGCTTGGGCAGCAGTTTCATCTAGGTGTTTCTMAGACTCAGCTGATTTTGAGCTACCATTTTATCACTACATTCTTTCTGGCACACTTTAGTCTAGCAAAACCATTTTGTTCAAATGAAGTGTCTCTAATACAGAAGCCACACTCCGGGTTTAATTTGCATAGAACAAGGTAACCTGCTGTATTTTATTTTAATATATTTTTAATATATTACATTTCTAAACCTTAAAGTCTAAGGTTACTTCTCCACAGGCTTAACATTGCTATACATACCAGTCAATCCCTTCAGTAGACTTATACCAGCTTTTGCTAAGTAGCATTAAATGTCTTCATAGTACTTTTTAATACTTAAAGCTTTGTAAAAACTATCCATGAAGGGAAAGCTCCTCAGCATAACTGCTCAGGGAAATAGGGCTAAATAACTAAATATTAAATAATTGGTTTAAGGTGCTGTTAGACGAGCCTCCATGCTTGCTACAAGGGTGTACAAGAACTGACTTTAATCATTTTCATTATAGTGTCCCAACCAGTAGTTTATTATTTTGCCACGGGGATGTAGAAGATATTACAAGCTACTGGATGCACTGTCAGATTAACTTATTTCATTAAAGAAGTTGGGAGAACAAATAGAAAAAAACCTTATTTTTCTAGTAAATATTAATGTATTACATTTCAAATAATGGTGCCTGACATATTGAATAATTATTTTCTACAGTGTACGTATGCAACAAAGATATTCCATCATGCATTAGAGTCAGTTCTGGCTCTGCCTCGCTGTTTACATTTGCAAATGTAGCAAACAAGGTAATGAAGCAACTATTTCTATTGCAGTAGGTATCTTTTTTTCTGTGTGTGTGCATTAAAGTTGTAAACGATAACATGAAATGAATGAAATTTGTTGATATTAATGGTATGGAAAAACAAGAAGGAAATGAAAATATTTTTATGCCTACTTAGGAAAAAAAGGGTAGCACTATTCATTCCAAGTACTTTTGTATTCTTAAGCTCTTAACTCACATTGTTATGCTTAAAATGATAAACATATATCCTCTTTTTATTGCTTTGTCTGTGTTTCAGAAGAAACATTTCAGAAATTATTTTGATAAGTGCTGTTTGACGATGCAGCGCTGATGTTTTATTGCATTCTGTAGTAGCATTGCACTCCATTTTTACAATATTACGCAGTTGCTTTTTTGTTTTGTTTGGGTTTGTTTCTTTTTCGCAGTGCAGGGTCTTAGTTCCTTATGGTTGGATGACAGGTGTAGCTCAACTGGTTCATGAATGTTGCAGCGAATGAAGTTTAAAATGTCTTTCTGATATTATGTTGTCCTTTCTTTCTCCATTCATGCATTTTATTTTTTAAAATGTTCTATAAAAATATCTCTGGACTAAGTCCTCACTTGAGATTATATGTAAAGGGTCCTATTCTGATCTCACTTACATGCCGCCTTTCTCAGATTTTCATGTAATTGAAACTAAAGCATCATAAAAAAAAAAAAAAACAAAAAAGTTCTTGTATTTAACTTACCTGAGTCTGACCACTCTCCCTTCTAGAATTTGGTGCACTTACAAGATACTTAACCATATAGACTGGGAGGTGGAAGATAAAAGGAGAGGTGATAGGAAATGTCTTATAGGGGTTGGCAAAAGTAAAAACAGGGAGGAAATGGCCTAAACATTCAGCACTTTGACAGTCTTTTGAGAAACAATGTGCCTAAAGCAGCCTGCAACCAACATCGCCATGCATGAGAAGCACTTACACAGCTGATCACCAAGGGTCTCGCTGACCTTGGCAGTATTTTAGGTGTTCCGTTTTTGCACAGATGAAACGTTATTGCACGGTTTCTCTGGTTTGTTAGGCACAAACAGTATCTAGTTCAGCATTAGGCTTGCAGTCCTTCCTGCTCCACCCATTGCTTCTATATTGGTGAGCAGCGTATGGAAAATCCCACTCAATCTGCTCATGGTTGAGTCCTATAACCCTTTAATAGTGTTCTAGGTTAGCAACGGATATTGGGCCACATTCTTCTTCTTCTATTTTTAGATGAATCTCCTGCTTGATACCAGTGCCAGACAATGTCTGGTTATATTTTTACTATTGTTCTCCAGTAATAAGTTCTGACTTGGTTTTTGTTGATTTATTTTTGTTGGGTATTTTTTTTTTTCTGTGGGGACTGAAATAGATTGCCCTCATTTTGTTACGTCAGGGTCCAGTGTGTGCTGTTCAGCTTTTCCAAGAAACATGTTAGGCTCACTTAGCAGTGATTTTATTGGCTTCAGAGGTAGCTGCCTGCCGGTTTTCAGTAGTTTTGACTTACTTCTTCCAGAACCTACCAGCTCCTGTGGCTTCTTCATTTGCGGAAGCTGCATCTTCATGGCAAAATAGTTTGTAGGGGACATGCACGTTGTAAGACTTCAGCACCACCCTGTACTTCATAACACTTCTTGCTAAGCTCAGAAGCAGAGGCCAAGAAGGGGAAATACACTTATCAGGGTTTGGGGATGAGGAGAAGTGAAAACTGAAGAGTGCAAATAGCAAGACGGAGTTCTGAATTACTATTGCACCTAGATCATACAATTAAAATTCAAAATTCAAAAATAAAAAGTTAATTGTTCTTGCCATGACATATTGAGATGTTCTAAGGTTTCTACTTTGTAAGATACAGGACTTTACCCTAACCTGTTCTCTTTGGTCACACTTTTAATTTCTGGGTGGGTGGGAGAGAGAGAAGGGACAGTGATTTATTCTCAAAAGAGGAGTGACTCCATCCCGCTTCCTAACCCCCTCAGAATGGAGATTAATCAAAAGAAAAATAATTCCTGACATCGTAAAGAAAAWTTCTTATTTAATAGTTGTCAGGTGAAAATCAGTATTAAAATGCACCATTAATTACTGTACCCACTGCATTTTGATCAACCTGCAGCACTAAAATTAAACTTTCAAAAGAATCATTCTTTGTTCTCACTTTCCAAAGATCTTCATGCTGTTGTAATTCTCTTTCTAAGGAATGGTTGGAGAGCTGAAAATGTACCTCAGATTGGACCCCCCAAGAGGTATAGATTGAGACAAAGGCTTTGCTGCTTCACTTATTAATCAGTTTCAGAGTAGTCCCGAAGTGTCCCTTTCCATGAGGACTAACACGGTGTAGCCAGAACTGGGATGCAGCATCTTCTGCTGACCGAGCTTGCCACCAGCTTCCTAACTGCACCCTGCTGCACCCTGCTGCACCCTGGATTAATGCAATGGAAGGTGAAGCTTTTCCAGAGCGCAGTTAGCATGTAGGTGCTAAACTCCAGCTGCCTTCCAAAAGACGTTTTGCACCTAATTGCCACTTGTACTGGTGAAACTTTCCTCTTAAATTTTCATAGACCAAGCAGAATGCATATTATGTCTTGCTAGAAACATTTATCTTTTCTCACCCTCAAGGGTGTCTAAAAGTGATATTGCACAATGTGCCCATTTTAAGTGAGCAAATGCAAAGATATCTCCGAAAGGTGGGCACATTGTGGGCAAGGCAGTTTGCATTTGGAAGAGTAGCCGGACAAATGTGACCCATGCTGACACGAATACAGTGCTGAAACACGGTGGTTGTGCACTGGGGAGACCTGACGTGGCAACAGCTCCGCTCAGGGGCTGTCAAGCCTGTATTTGGACAGGAAAAGGTTGCTGTCTAGTCATAACTACCTTGTGTTTTGTGCAGAGGATACTGTCTGCCATCTGCTTCTTGCCCAGCACATATAAATGTATTCCCATTCTTGCTCCTCTATTGATTTTTGTTGGCTGACTTAACATGCTAATTCCTACTACTGGTCAGGAAAAGCCAGAGAGATTAGGAGTTCACTTCTRTTCAGCCAGAGGGGCAGATACATTTCCCTCTGCTTCTGTAGAAACGGTTATGCTTGGCAAAGGACAGCAAGCAATTTGTCAACCTATCCAAATGGCGATAGAGAAGTGAGAAATCCTTTAGAAACTTTTCCATGAAGTTCAGCTGGGCCAAGAGGAAAGATTTGCATGGTTTCCTCACCCCAGAGTAGGATCCCTCCCTACCCTCTCGCTCACAGTATCACTTGTTCRGCTGGCTCTGAAAAGCTGGCAGTTGGTGAGATGCTACCTGTATAATAGTCACATAGATCCTGATTTACTGAAAGGACGAGAGAAAATGATGTCATGCCCCCAGCCAGTAAATACTGGTTTTGCTTGGGTACCCTTTGTAAAGCAACTTGCTTAGAATAAGAATTGTAGCAGCAACCACAGTTTTCCATGTTTTGTCCTATAATTTTGGTCTCTGAGCTCTATGTAGAAGGAGAACAGGAGAAAAACAAACATCTCAAAATGCCATTGTAAATTTAGCTTATTAATAATTGACCAGCAGGAAAAGGAAAAAAATAAAGTACTTTATAAAGAATGACTTTATGTTGCTAAAAAACATCTTTAGACTTTTAGCCCTGATTTGACTCTAGAATGTTGGCTCGTATTGTTTTGTCCTTACAACACATGGATGTGTTTTTTGTTCTGTTTTGTTTCGGGGTTTTTTTGTTTTGTTTTGTTTTTTGGTTTTCATAGTGCATGTTCATTTCTACTCACAAACATGTTCTTGGTGTATTTCTTATGCAAACAATCTTCAGGCAGCAAAGATGTCTGTTACATCTAAACTTGAATAATA